AATCCTAAACACACTAGGAAAAGGATATTGAAGGTAATTAAGTTAGGGTAGTCGTTTCTATGCTTGACACCTATGACTCGTAAGTATTTCTACAATTCCTAGGTGGCGTCATTCAATTATGAGTTAATCTTTTACTTAAGTATCACTATCTATGGGTATGATCTACGGTCCATAGATCTTTGTATGACCCATCATGTCAACTCATCATTTGACCACCGAAACTTAACATGTATGAACATTTGCATTACTCCATTGTACGGGTCGTAGAAACAACTAAGGCACATCATTATCTTTATTTGTTTCACTTACCTCCAAGAATCACCACTTCAAATCAAGACTCCTACCTACAGCTCGTAGAAGATTCTATGGCTCGTAGGTCAAGTTGTCAATCAAAAATATCACTATTGCTGCAACATTTCAATATCAACAACTCCATAACCTATTTCCTAAAGATTACCATCACATCTACTAACAAATGCATAAGACGCAGACAAACGTTCTAGTTTAAAACATCAAAAATACCATATATTCACGAGACATCATCAATCAATTTAGCAAAAGGTATATAAAATATATACAAGGAAAAGCCTATCTTTTAAATTAATGTTGATTATACACTTTTAAGGAATAGACCATGCTCAATTAATCAATTACACCACGCATTATCCCAAGTTATATGGTACAATCCATTTATCATCTAGATAGATTTTTTTTTCTTTCAAGGTCTTAGCTTATCTACAAAAGAGCGCTTATAGATTTTAAATTATATGCAGTTATGAAGCCAAGTTGTTGATCAAATCAAAACATACTTAAAATGCAAATAAGGATTTCTCAAGATATTTGCATTGCTCCAATTCTAGTGAAATAAGGAGAAACATAAGTGTGAAAATTTTACCATATTTACCAAATAAGAAGGATACGTTGAAAAATATGGTCCTTTGTTGAAATTTAAAAGGCTACTTTTCTTAAAGAATCCTCATTCAGACTCTATAGTTGCCTTTAATTACCCTTTTCAAATTTCCTAACACTATAATCATGAAAGCTTTCTCTCACTTTATTTTCCCACGTAGGCATCACATATGGTTTTAAACATCATTACTTTGCCATCTTCAAGTATCACTTGAAGTATAACACTAACAAAGATTTTAATGTTGTTGTTATGGGGTATGATAACCAATATTTTTTCTCATCTACTAGGAAGAGACTAAGTCACGGTACGAACATGCTGCTTATCAATAAAATGACCAACAATTCTATGTTGAGATATCATTTCAGACATAACTATTGTGTGTTATTTTCACACTATGGTCATTTCGATTCTTCAATATGTCAAATTAAATTTGGTCAATTATATTTCTTTTTTATAGTAAAAGACGTCATGAGGTCTTTTTTTTAATTAAATTTGGTCAATAATATTTTTTTTTCAATCAAAGACCGTGAGGGTCTCTTAAGACATTTATTAAAATTTTATGAGACTCGTCTGTTTCCCCCTTTCATCATAGGGAAACTCAGTTTGAAACCCTAGTTTTTTCATAGGCGAGATGTATTTTTGAATGAAACTCTCCCTCTCTATATAGATTTTCGAACAAGCAATTTTGGAGCTTATATTTTTTTAATTTGAAAAGTCTCATCCTTAGTTAACAATATTACTGCATTAATAGTTTGATGTGAGATTAAAAATTGTCTTTTCAGTCATCTCCTTGTTTAAATCAACACCTGATTGGCACCACAATTACCTCTTTTTAGTTATGCCTTCAGAAGAAACAAACTTTAAGAAGAGTATTCTTTATTCGAATCAACCTTCAAGATTGAATGTCCTACTCAGGGGTGGTAGCCTAAAATACAGTTTCAATTTGAGGCCTAAAATATAAAAAAACTTCGAACAAACATCTGGTTCTACCGATACCCTTAACGATTATTGTGTTTTGTAACCTTAGATTTGCATTGTATTAATTGATTCTCGCAAATTCTTTTGCTTTAAGCAATGTCTCGTAATTCCTTATCTTATGTTTTTTAAGCTAGTATCTAAAAGTATTTGTTTTGTATTAATATAAGGAATTACGTGTATTTGGGAGATTCTCTATAATTCACTGACAGGTCGTGGCAATAGATATTAATACTCATTATTATGTTTCAACTGAAATATTTTGTATTAGGAAGGTGCTCAAGTTTGTTGGTAGAAAGAGTTTCATCGGCAACATGTCTTTTATGCAGAAGGCTAAATTTTGCATGCCTCAATAATAAGGAATAGAGCAAAAAAGTATCACCCATAATAGAATCCATATAAGTCAGTTTAACCACCAAATACCAAGTTTATGTTTGTGCATGTGGTACATACCTTATTTGTTTGTCATCAGTTTGAAGCACGATAAAGACACATTTGAATAGAGGAACTAGAGTTAAAGTCCAAAAACAAAAGAAAAAAATCTATTCTTAGTCACCGAATGATGAATGTCTTCTGTAAATGTGCTCTTGTAGACATAGAGAGGGGAAATACCGAGATCATCATACACTACCCTAAGACTTTGATAAGCCAGAATCAACATATCTACCAACACTTCTATAATAGATAAACCTAAAGATGGAAATAGGTGCAAGAAAGATGTGAAAGAAAGCATCATACAGACACCTTCTCTGTAATTCATTGAAAAGTCATGGCAGTTGACATTAGTACTCATTATTTTGTTTCATCTATAATTTTGGTCTTTCATAAATGATTCTTTCTTCTCACTCACTGTAATGTGAGATTACTTGATTAATTGGTATCTCTAAACTGTTTTATAGTATAAGATGTGTAGATTGTAGTATCTGAGTGAAAATCAAAACCTAAGAAATAAATTGTAATAAATTAGAAATTCATATAGGCAATTTCCCCTCATTGAGAAGCTCTAGTTATGTATAATTATTAAGGATGCTTATGTTGTAATTGTAGATTTGAAGAATTAATATCAAATCATTTAAGTTGTTGTTGTTGTTTCTATCTTGCATTTTAGATTTCCAATTTCCCGCATTTTTCTTGAGCATAGATATGAAGATTTTCAATATTTAGAAGTAACCATACTTTCGAACTAGCTCACAATGAGTTGTGATATAGGTTTCATTGGATCCTGTTGGATTTTATTTCCCCTGAATTTCTTATCATAAATAGGTTTTCCTTGTAGGAAAATGTTTTGGATTGACTAATCCTTTTCTTGTAGGAAAAGGTTTAGGACTCTATAAATAGAGGCGTTTCTAACTTAATCAGCATTCACAATGTAGTCTTAAGGGCTTTGAGAGTTTTTGTTAGGGAGAAAATTTGTGGGTCACAAGCTTGATACGTTATCACTTGTGTGAACCTCCCAAGTATTCCGAGTGAATTGGTTGAGGTTGTTTCTCTCTGTATTTCGTACTCTTATATTTATAGTGGATTGCTCATTTCCTTTGTGGACGTAGGTCAATTGACCGAACCATGTTTAATCTTTGTGTCTTTTGGTATATTTCTTGTTGTCTTCTTATTCGTGGTCTTTTGAAGTTTGCTTTGCTAGCTTCTGCATTTACACCTGCTTATTTTCGATCCTAACAAGTGGTATAAGAGACAGATTCAATGATGAAGTCAGGTTCAGTGGTTCGATAATCGATTATTGAACCAGGTTAGAAATAGGTGTTCATCTTGACGGGTGTAGTTCTAGCTGCAACCTTTTTGACAGTAATGAAGATTTTGTTTGAGAAATTGTTGTAGAGAGGTTCTTTGTGTTGAGATATAAATTTCGCAAAGGAGATTATGGAGAGGAGAAACAAGTTGTTGAAGATTAAATCAAGAAGGTGGACAAATTTATTTTTTCAGAAATTCAGGCCAAGGGGGAGATTTTTTGGGTTTTATTTGCCCTAAATTTCTTATCATAAATAGGTTTTCCTTGTAGGAAATTTTTTTTGATTGACTAATCCTTTTCTTGTAGGAAAAGGTTTAGGACTCTATAAATAGAGGCATGTTCCTTCTAACTTAATCAACATTCACAATGTAGTCTTAAGAGCTTTGAAAGTTTGGTTAGGGAGAGAATTTATGGGTCACAAGTTGGATATGTTATAACTTGTGTGAACCTCCCATGTATTATGAGTGAATTGGTTGAGGTTGTTTCTCTCTGAATTTTGTACTCTCATATTTATAGTGCATTTCTCATCTCCTTTGTGGACGTAGGTCGATTGACTGAACCACGTTAAATCTTTGTGTCTTTTGGTATATTTCTCGTTGTCTTCTTACTCGTGTTCTTTCGAGGTTTGCTTTGTGGCTTACGCATTTACACCTGCTTATTTCCGGACCTAACAAGTGGTATCAGAGCTAGATTCAATGACGGAGTCAGGTTCAGTGGTTCGATAATCGATGTTTGAACCAGGATAGAAAGATGTGTTCATCTTGGCAGTGTAGTTCTAGCAGTAACCTTTTTGACAGTAATGAAGATTTTGTTGGAGAAATTATTTCAGAGAGATTCTTTGTGTTGAGACATAAATTTTGTAAAGGAGATTATGGAGAGGAGAAACAAGTTGTTGAAGATTAAGTCAAGAAGGTAGACAAATTTATTTTGTCAGAAATTCAGGCCAAGGGGGAGATTTGTTGGGTTTTATTTGCCCTAAATTTCTTATCATAAATAGTTTTTCCTTGTAGGAAAATGTTTTGGATTGACTAATCCTTTTCTTGTAGGAAAAGGTTTAGTACTCTATAAATAGAAGCATGTTCCTTCTAACTTAATCAGCATTCACAATGTATTCTTAAGCGCTTTGAGAGTTTTGGTTAGAGAGAAAATTTGTGGGTCACAAGCTTGATACGTTATCACTTGTGTGAACCTTCCATGTATTCCGAGTGAATTGGTTTCTCTCTGTATTTTGTACTCTTATATTTATAGTGGATTTGCTCATCTCCTTTGTGGACGTAGGTCGATTGACCGAACCACGTTGAATCTTTGTGTCTTTTGGTATATTTCTCGTATCTTCTTACTCGTGATCTTTTGAGGTTTGCTTTGCTAGCTTCCGCATTTATAGCTGCTTATTTTCGAATCTAACAAATCCATGTAGCTATTTAATTAGAACTAACTAAACAGGATAGTCTTCCTCTTCTATCTAACGCATAATGTTTAATACCTTCTTCTCTCTCTACCTTATGCTTCCATATTGTAATAGAAATACAGTCATAATGTTCTTTGTGAAGAAATCTCTCTGGTGAAGCTCGTTGGGCTTTCGACAACAAATTTCTTGGGCATTGATATCTTTTACGTAAGTTGAAGCTCTACTGGTCTTTCGACAACAAATTCTTGGATGTAAAGGTGAATAAATTTTATGTTTTCTCTGCTAGTTAATGATTTCTAAGTCCCCGTTGAATGATTTTTGAAAAATTGTAAAGAATGATATATGGGTTTGTCCTAAATATATATTATTTGTTTTAATATAGGTCTGTCACATAATCTAGGATTATAGTTTGTATTTCCTGTTTGGTGAAGATTTGCGAACTGTTAAGCAATTGTCTTTGAGAGGGTGAATTTCAGTTTTATGAGAGAAATTTCTATTGTAGTTTTCCCCCTTCAAAATCACACAGGGCATATCTCAGGTAAAAAGAAGTCTAAGATACTTGTCATCCTTTTCTATACAAAAACTGATATGATGGACTGATCAGATTTGAAAAACTCAAGTTACAAATCCACTAAAGAGGATTGTCCAAATTTGTTTGTTTTCACAATCACCCAAAAAGAGACCAAAATGAATTTTTACATTTAAAAAAATACAGAGAGTTTCTTGACAATCGAGACTGTCATCACAATCAACGTCCAAAGGGCCAACTTTGTTTATCGATGCTGAACGAGATGAATGGGACAATGCATAAGTTATTACTATAAGTGTTTTACTTGAATGGGACAATCTGTTACTTGTGACTTATTAAGAATGATTATGATTTTCCTTAAGTTACCATAAGATTTGCTGTTAAAGCTTACTTGTTATTGAAACTTTTTTAAGTTATGCTGATTTCATGTGTGTCAATTTGTAGAATTTGAACATTTACTAATCATGTCACATATCTGTGTAAATGAAAATTTAGATACTTAATGATGTAGCAAAATTACTAGTCAATGGGCGAGTTGATTACTTTGCTTAAGAAGTAGCAACACATCAATCTGAAAAAGCTCTCAGTACTTGTAATAGTTGGATTGGTGTTTCGACGGTAAGTCAAAATCATACTAGTGCATATTATAAAATTGTGAATTCTTTTTATCGTAGTAGAGAATAAAGAGATTGTGTCTTCCCATCCTCAATTTTTCTGAAATTTCTAGTATTAATTGGGGTATATTTTGTTCTTCATATTATTTGTTTGAGATGTGCCTTATTTTTATTGAAGTAGATTAAGTAAAAAGTGTTGATTGGTGCTATCTTGTCCTCAATACTTAAAGAAAATAAAACTTGAAGTTGCAATGATATGATTTTTTCATTTCCGTGTCAAATATGTTGGGCAAGAGTCTAGAGTAATTATTCCTACAATTTGTTTGTTGACAATCAAACCTGACAGTCCTAACTAGATAGTGTAGAATATTGGAAATAACAAATGTAGTCTTAGGCCAACTTTTTTTGCCAAGTCGAGACTCGCCCGATTCCTGATGATGCCCCTGTCTTTATCACTACTTTTCAACTGAGGTCGTTCCATGTCTCCATTTTTATTTGGTATATATAGTATAATGTGATAATATTAATTTAGAAAGTTATGTAGAAAATAAGTATGTTTTATGATATTGTGGTAGTGTACCAATATTATTGCGGGTTTGGTGAGAATCCAAACCTTTTCTTTTATGATTGATCATAACTGTTTTTTTTGGTGTATTTTGATGAGATTGTGAGAAAATAGAAGGTGTTATTATTACTGTTATTAATATATGGTGTCATCAGTAATGCAAATTAGTGAAGGTACATGTTTCACTGGAAGATTCTTCTTCCTCTATATAGATTTGTCTATGTACGTATTAATTGGAAGAATTTTTATGCTAGAGTCTAAGAGAATTTCACTGAATGTACTTCATGTATGTGTTTGAATTTATTCCGTCTACCTTTTGATGTTAATATCCATTTCAGGGGTAGCTACTTAGATGAAGATTCAGGTTACACTATTTGTTCATGATTCTGTTGTAATTTTGATTGTAAGAGCATGTGATATGTGAACTCTTCTAATCAACAGTGTGTATGTATTAGTGCAATCGTGACATGTCCGATTTCTTTAATAGTCTAAACTCTAAAGAGAATCATATAAAAAAAGTTCAGCTTATACAACAAACATTACACATTTGGCCAAAAAAATAATACACAATATGAGGTATTTGGTCTACTATTACACAATCTCTTGCGAATTTATTTATTTTTCTATTGCGACTCTTTTTTTTCTTGCTCTTATTCTTCATTTTCCTATTGATGGTGATGTGGAGGATTAAACCAAAGACCTTCCATGAGTTACTACAGTTTAGTACAGTTTACGTTGGATGTTCAGTGGATGATTTTCTTTGCTAGCTCAATGAAGATGTGGGCATTGTGCAGATTTTTTTTTTGAGCGAATTATGCTTAATTTTACAGATTATTATTGTGATGTTTTTAGAGTACTAGCTAAAATCTGCAGAAATTTTTGATTGTGTTGAAATCTGCAATTTAATTTTGAAGTGTAATGTATTAATTATGGTGCTTATTTATGGTGAAATTGTATTAAAACAACACAACTTAAACCTATCCAAATAGAATAGTCTGCTTGAATAGGATAAGGATTCAAATTTTCATAGAGACCTCTATGATACCTCTCAGAGAAAGAATCAGGGAGTATGTTTGATTCTTTTCAACTTTTTCTTCCTGAAATTCGTCAGACCCAATTTTTCTAAAACAAGGCTTCCGTTAGCCAATATGGACAGCTGCTGGTAGGTGTAAATTGTTGTAGAATGTCGGAGTTATGACTCCATTTAAATAGGAAGTTAACCGTACAGTTTGCCTCTCTATATTTGTGATTGCACTTGAAGATTTTCAGTTGATTTGTGAGCCTTTGAAGGTCCTGAATACACTGTTGGTGTACCAATGGAGGGTGGCTGTTGTGAGTCTATACCCATGTTGCATGCCCTAGTCCATCTTTATCTCTTATTATTTCTTGTTTCTCCATTGGAAGGTTGGATTTATCAAGCTCATAAATGAGTTGTAAATGATCAATTAATCAAGTATCTTGCACTTCCAAACTATTTGGTGTCAATATATGACTAAAGCTATTCCTCTATATTTTCATCCATTTAATTTTAATACTGGAAATTCTCTAAAAGTTCTCCAACTCCTACATGTATTGCCATATAGACATACAAGTTTCTACAAACTACAACAATACATCCAGTATAATCCGTTCTAGGGAGTGTAGGAGACATACCTTACCCCTATCTTTGTAGGGTAGAGAGGTTCTACTAAACTAAAAGTGTCCCCGACAGGCACCATATTTAATGTAACAGTAATAACAACAACTAAACCTTAATTTGAACTAGCTGTCACTTTCCATATGGTTTTTTTGCTTCCATTATCTTCTATTATTATCTAAATCCGCATTGGTTCAATAAATCATAGGATCTTTCAGATAGCCTCCTTCTGTTTGATTTTATTTCTACCTTGTCCTCTTTAAGCACCTTAAACGATCATAATGTCACACCTACAACAAACTTATTCAACATGGTCAAACCATCTTCGGTGATAGTTTTTCTCATTTTTATCATTTATGTCCAATCTGATGCAGTTGTTTCCAGATTTGTCCATTCTTGTTCAAATGCATAGCTTCTCATGCAACCATTCTGTAAAATTTTCTTACTTTGTTAGGCACTGCATTCAATGAAAATATCTTTGTATCTCTACCCACTGTTCTCACACTTGTAACTGCTCGTTTGGACTATCCTTTATCGTATTAATATTTGATATGGATTCTTTATTTTCAAACTACTTTACTGGCATTACCATATGCTTTCTATAGTTCACTAAGTATCATGTACATTACCTTCTCGCTGTAAGAATTTCTACAAATCCTAACAGAAGTCCTCTGTTTTTACAAGAATACCAATCATGAACATTACACGTACATGATGGTGACTAGTTTGGTATTTCTTTTGTTCCTTTGTTCTCTGGTTTGGTAACAAAACTGATAGAACTAGCTTAAGGTAGTTGTTCTGGTCGGAGAGGGATGTATGGTATTCTTTACATCGTTTCCAGTTGTGTTGAGATGCATGCATTTATTTTGGGATTATAGACTTCTAACTCCCCAGGTTGAAACTTCTGGCAGCAAGTTGCGGAAAAGTTTTAGATTAGTCCATGCTCCATGTATATAGTTAAATGATTTTTGAGTTTATTGAGTTTATATGTATATCTGACATATAAAGTAATAACCTTGTAATATATGACTACTGTGGATCCATAAAACTTTTGCGAAAAAATTGGTAATTTATTTATATTTTTTCTAATTGTATGTAGGCGATGAAACCGAAGAAGGCTATCAAAGCAGTAATGAAGACGTAACATAGAAGCTAAGATATTGTCAATGTTAACTTTACTGATGTTTGTGTTTCACCTTTTTTTGAATGGTAAAAAAGTACTTGTATATTTTTTTAGAGAAAAGACATAAAGTGATAAAAAGACACCTTAACTATGCAGGTATTCTATTACCACCCTAAACAATTTCGAACATATATTATTACATCATTTTTCGATCAATTTCAGACATTAAATGACAAGTCTTATCACACACCAAACATTATGTGACATGTGTTAATTTAATTTTGAAATATTTTTTTAAATTTTAAGTTTTTTTATTTCTCTTACTTTTTGACTTATTTTTAATGTTATTACTTTGATTTTAATTTCATTTCAGTTTTTTATGCATCTTCCACCTCTACTTTCAAGCTCCCTCCATTTTCTTTCTTTCTGCTTCTACTTCACCTCTCACTGTCACCTTACCCCACCCCACATCAAGTTGAGACCCTTCATTTTCTCTCTTTTCTTCTTCATATTCGGTCAAATTTCTTACTTTTCAAAAATTATATTATTTTCTAGAATTTGTTGAGTTATGGATAACAAAACTACTTATTTTTCTAAGAAAGATCAAAATTTTGAAGGTATCATCATTTAATTTATTTCATTTGCATATAAATTCAAAACATGAAGTGATAATTTTTAAAGTATAAGAATTCTCCAAAAATTGAAAAAGTTTTTAATTGAAATTTGGATACAAAACAAAGTAACCCATACTAATCATCTTGAGATTTAATGAGTTTATCAAATTGTTCAAAATATAATAAAATATCTAAATATAATTTTAAAATTGAAGAGAGTTAAAGTAATAGTAAAATAAAAGCGATGTGATGTTATGGTAAAAAGTGACATTGAAAGTGATAAGTTAATGAAAATGACAATGAATTTTTGAATAATGAAGGAAGAAAGAAAAAGAAAAAATAATAAGGAGAAAAACTTAAAATAATTAAAAAAATTAAAATTATATTTTATAGCAAAATTTTTGTAAAAATAAAATTTTATTCGTTTTTTAGTTTGTTCACGCTCTTTAAGAGAGTGCATACACTCTCCATGCCAGGTGGATCAAAAATGATGTAATAATATCAATTCAGGATTGTTTAGGGGGTAATAGGACACTTGAATAATTTAGGTTTCTTTTTGAAAATTCGGGACGACTTCAAGTATCACTTTATGTCTTTTCTATTTGTTTTATTGATAGTAGCCAACAATGGTTCTTGAATTATAATTTTGGTAATGAATATTTCTTCTTGTGAACGATTTATGTGTATTTTATGTTATAAAAGTATTGCAATAGCTCAATAATATAATATTTATTGAAGTGTATATACACACACACATATGTTGCAATAGTTTAATAATAACTGTTGCAGTACCCTGTAATGATCGTTGCATTACCATGTAACGACTATCATATTACTTTTATCCGTAATAATAGCCTTCAACTAGCGTCACAATAGAATTAAAAGGTTTTTGAATAGAAAGAAAAATTGTAGTCATAACCTCAAAATAACTAACGCATAAAACTATTTTCCAATGGTTCATAACCGTACCAATATGATACAATGTTTTGGCAAATTATTAAATTGAAAACTGTGGCAAAAGGTCTATCTACTGCTATGGTTTTCTGAACTGTCGAACATAATCGTACCAACAAATTTCTTGCTACGCGATCTATTGTAACGGTTGCATTAACCATCGCATTAGACTTATGGCTATGGCTGGCAGTGGTATCGATACCGAGAGAACGAACTTAAATGTTAAATATACGGACGGTAACAACCTGTTTAGTCGTTTTGAGTAGCATATTTTATATCTAGAAAAACTGGCTGGAACGACGGATCCCATGACGGACCGTCATGGGCACGACGGACCGTCGAGGGGGTCTCGTTCCAAAACACTTAGAATTCTGAAATTTGGGTACTGAAATAGACTCTCTGAACTTAATGACGGAATGGCAGGACGGACCGTCACTGGCGTGACGGGCCGTCAAAGGCGTGACGGGCCGTCACAGATCCTTTAGTGAAATTTAGTCTCTGAACATTGTGACGGAAACAGCAGGACGGACCGTCGCAAGCACGACGGGCCGTCACAGACTGCGTAATCCAAGGCTGGGTCGGATTCCTGTTTAATATTTTAAGGGGCGTTTTGGACTATTCCTGCTATAATTATAAATCTAGTGGGTTAATGTTAATAATTTAACTACTGGAGGGTTAAAGGAGATAACCTTTTAATGGGTTAATTCATCATCTTTTATACTTAATTATATGCTAATTAGGGTTAAAGAAAAAGGGTTTGAATAAGAAAGATAGAAAGAATAGAGAGAAGAGGGAGAAACGATCGAGAGAGAGAGGAACGAAGAAAAAAGCAAAGATTTTGAGGATTAGCTTGCTTGATCACAATTCTTCGGTGGAGGTAGGTTATGGATTTTATGCTATTCGTAGTAAACTCTTAATAGTGAATGATATGTATTGGGTAGTATTGTAAACCCTTCTATATGCTTAATTGTGGGTTTGCATGATGTGATGATATAATTGTGATGAAATAAGCATGATGAAGCTATTGAATCCTAAATCTTGAAAGTCTCTTGTTAATGATGATGCCTTGGTATAAAAGAAGGCTTGATGAACTAAAAGAATGAGGTTAGGGGATCGGGTGTCACGAACCGACACGTAGTAATAGGGGGATCGGGTGTCACAACCGACATGTAGTAATAGGGGGATCGGGTGTCACGAACCGACACGTAGTATTAGGGGGATCCAGTGTCACGAACCGACACGTAGTATTAGGGGGATCGGGTGTCACGAACCGACACGTAGTATTAGGGGATTAGAGTGTCACGTTCCGATACAAGAGAAATAAAGAGAGTGAATCTTGAATTATGGTAATATACTCAGATTTAATGAACCTATTTTCCTAAATGAGTATGATGGGGAGGCGTGAGTCCTCATTGATGTGCTTGGTGTTGTGACCAAGGGTTATGGTAATTGTAAATGCCGCATGTTGAGTATGGTAGTTGATTTTATGATATTATCTGATATATACTGTTTTTCTATTTTGAGTTGGCCGATGATATCTACTCAGTACGTGTGTTTGTACTGACCCCTACTTGTATGTTTCTTTCTTTGTTATTTGTGGAGTACAGCAAACGTACCGTCGTCTTCAACTCAACCGCAACTCTAGCCAGTCTTCATTACACCGGATTTCAGGGTAAGCTAACGCTTCTAGCTTGGACTGGATCTTCTTCTTTATGTCTTGATGCCTTGAAGTTCCAACATGGACTAACTTTTTATTTATTCTAGCTTTGTAGATACTCTTAGAATTAGTAAATTGGAGGATAGATGTTCTTGTGATGATGACTTCCAGATTTTGGGGATAATGATAAGTTTTGAGTTTTAGAAGTTAATTATTGATTTCGTTAATGAGTTTTTAAGTCTTCCGCATTATTTTCTATTTATTATGTTTGAAATGTTTGGGTTCAGATTGGTTGGTTCGCTCACATAGTAGGATAAGTATGGGTGCCACTCGCGACCCGTTTTGGGTCGTGACAAACTTGGTATCAGAGCATTAGGTTTGTTGGTCTCATCACACAAGAACGAGTCTAGTAGAGTCTTAAGGAACGGTAGGGGGACACCTTTACTTTTCTTTGAGAGGCTATAAGACTTTAGGAAAATTTCGTTCTTTCTTTCTTTCGTGCTATTACTTGGATCCAATTGGTATCTAGGTGATACAGATTGGTATCTGACCATCTTCACTCTATTTCGCAGATGGTTAGAACTAGAGCAACAACCGCGCCATCACCGGCAAGACAAGAGGCATCTGAGGCAGCCACTGAGACTGTAGCTCCAAGAGGAACAGTGGCAAGAGGCCGTGGTAGAGGTCGTAGGAGGATATCCTCTAGAGGAAGAGGACAAACACCTGGCCCATCTAGTACTAGGGCGGTGACTTCTCCACCTACTGAGGAAGTAGTAAGAGAGGGTGAGGAAGGGGAAAGTGAGCAAGTGCAGAATGAGGAATTACCACCCCAACCTACCCCAGAGATGATTAATCAGGTTCTTGCTTATCTTAGCGGGTTAACTGATCAAGGCCAGACACCTCCAGTGTTTTCTGCACCAGCGCCTCAGGTTCCGGGAGTACAACATGCAGCTGCTGTGGCTCCCCGCATGGATGCCTCATTGGAATGACAAGTGATCAACATGAACTCTTCAGTAAGTTCTTGAAATTGAAACCTCCAGTCTTCAAGGGTGCTGAATCTGAGGATGCCTATGATTTTCTGGTTGATTTTCATGAGTTACTACATAAAATGGGCATAGTGAAACGATTTGGCGTTGAGTTTGTAACCTATCAGTTTCAGGGAAATGCCAAAATGTGGTGGCGGTCACATGTTGAGTGTCAACCCGCATAGGCACCACCTATGACTTGGGCGTCGTTCTCTAGCTTATTTATGGAGAAGTATATCCCCCGGACCTTGAGGGATAGGAGGAGAGATGAGTTCTTGAGCCTAGAGCAAGGTACGATGTCGTTTACTGCGTACGAGGCTAAGTTTCGTGCATTATCCAGGTATGCCACCCGGCTTTACTTTAGTCCACAAGAGAGGATTCGCCGTTTTGTGAAGGGGTTGAGGTCAGATTTGCGGATTTCAGCTTTACACGTAGCGGCTACAGCAAAATCCTTTCAGGAAGTGGTAGACTTCGTGATAGAGGTGGAGGGAGTGAAGCCAGATGACTTCACCATGGCATCGACATTTAAAAGGTTTCGTAAGGTAGTTGAGTTTAATGGTTCTTACTCCAGAGGGCAGGGTTCAGGAGGTTACCCAGCCCGACCTATCTAGTCTTCACTATAGACTGTAGTTGGGGGTCCACCGCAGACCGGCCAACATTTCTCTGAGTTTGGTGGTTATCCCCAGACTTTGTTATTCTCACAGGGACCTATGCTTGAATCCAGAGATGTTATGGATGTGGAGAGACTGGACATATTAGGAGGAATTGTCCAAAACCGAGTTACAAACCCCCAATAATCAGAGGTAGAGGTGGTCATGGAAGAGGCCGTTATTTGGGAGGACGTGGTGGCCGGGATGATGGTGGTCACCAAAACGGTCGGGGTAACGGGCAAACTGGAACTACTGCAGCGCAACATGGTAGGGGCAACGGGCAAACAGGTGATAGGGCCCATTGTTATGCTTTCCCTGGGAGATCCGAAGCGGAGACATCTTGTGCTGTCATCA